TTTATGTTAATTAATTATTCATGAATTTGCATTAACTGACTAAAAATGTTTACAACTTGCACTATCTACTGACGTAATTCCATTAAATAAAATGAGACCCTTCTTTTTTGCCCTCAGCTAGACTTATATAAGTACAGATGTACTTAGTCTTTGCTGACTGATTGATATTGCAAGAAACCAGTAGAAAATGTACTGTACTTTCACTTAGTAAGGTGGCATTTCTATCTGTGAGTTCAAAGAATCTCTACTTGCTACTACACTTGTTCCTTTGTTCTTGTAAGCAGTTCGTAAGAACAAAGGGGCTTTTAAAAATGGCAAAAGGCTTTTTCTAAAATTCTGACATTCAATAAGGGCCATCCAAACTGTAACCCTGTAGATGAAGTTGAATAGAATACCTTCACCTTTTAGCTAGTTATTACTGCAGTGACTGAGTTTTAAAAGGAATTTCAATATAATTGTGCATTTTTTGTTCTTGTTTATCAAAAACACTGCCAAAAATTTCAATGCAAACATACCAAATATTCTGCAAAATTTATTCTTCTTCACTAAGCCGCCTTTTAATCCTGAAGATTCTTCTACAGTACCAGAGTATTTCAATACTAAACTACCTCAGAAGATTTTCAAAATAGTCTGAATATATTTTCTAAACCTTTATCTTCTAAAGGTATCTTTAAGTAGACAACTTCCTATCTGTAGAAACATATGTTTGATTTTTTCTAAACATATTTAGGCAATTATGAAAACAAGGGAGCTGAAGTACTGTTTCCTATTAGACAGTACACATTGATGGCAGTGAATATTTTGCCTACATCTATTGAGCCTCTTATAATAAAACCATTCCCATACAGTATGCAAGTATTTACTTTAGGTATAATTAAAATAAATTCTACAACATTATCAGCTATTTCAAAGTATATGCTCAATGGACTAATTAAATTATCTAAAAAGCTTTGTTCCCATCATGTTACTTACAATGCTCAAAGGGTTAATGCAAGGCATTATATCAAATTAATTTTCTAATACTAGAACTAAGCACTGTGTGTTTATGCTTCTATTCCAGTTTTTATTGTTTGTTTGTCTTGAATCACCAAACAAATTAGCAGAGATACTAGAATTCCATTTATTGATTTGTTTTAAACCATATACAAAGAGGATGTCCCGTTAGAAAGACAAGGGCCCAATTTTCAGAAATTCACACTGCTCTCTCAAATGAATGTTCTAAACTCTGAAATTACTGTTCTGTATCTACATTACTCATAAATCCGTGTTTCATCAGCACTTTTGTGGCTATCAATGTTGGTTTTATTTTGTAAAAACATTCTGATTTAAATTGGATTGCAGTGCATCCCTAATGTAAATTTTTGTCTAAACAGTTCAGATGACAATTGGTAAGAATGACAAAGATATCAGATCACTTCTCCTAGGGAAAACAAAATGAACAAAAGAAGTTCTTTAAATACTTAAAACCACCTCACTTGAAACTGAATTTGTAAATAGATCTATACATGCTTGAATGACAGAACACTATCTATTTTCTTACTATATTTAAACTAAAGTCAGTAATGCTGTAAATCATCATTTTTATAAGTAAATAACTTAAATTCTATTTTCCAAACTTGTATGGAACTTTTTTAAAAAGAAGGTGCTTAAAGCATGCTACAGTACAAGACCAAAACACAGAAATAATTAACAGAAATAATAATAAGTGAAAACAGGGAAAAAAAAAAAAGCTTTAAAACTGATTTACCATGGGAAAGATGAAAAGGTACCAACAAATTTTAATAAATACAAAACTTTTGAAAATTGGGCCCTGTGTTTTGAACAGGTAGTTCAACAATACCCATTCCCCCACAGTGTTTACTGTGCTATTTGTGCTAATGGGGGAAATGCCTCTAAAATAATTAGTTTAGATTCCACGTCAAGATTAGATAAAAACACATAAACCATGTCAACTCTCATAATGTCTACCCTGTGGATACACGCTACACTTCTCCAGAGCACTAACAGACTTCAGAGCTAGTGTGGCAATGCAACCGCATGCTACACATTATAGAATATGGACTGAGGTATTCGTATCTCTGTAGTTTAATGTCTACTAAACCCCAACTATTAAATAGCAAGAGTGTGCAAAATGTTTTATCTAAGTGTTTGATTAAAATTTCGGTAAATGTGAAAATGAAACAGAAGACCCCCAAGCCTGTAAGTATACAATGCAACTTACAGTAACATAGTTCTTCCCAAAAAATCTAGTAAAATCTTTAGAATTTAATCATAGGAATACAGACTCCATTCAGTTTTCTGAACGTGGGATAGTTAAAATTTTTTTGATAACCCCTTGTATTTAGAAGCTATGAAATACATTCCATTTTTGTATTCAGATTTTTGTTCAGTTTTATTTTGCACTTTGTGAACAGTGAACAACTGAGTGGAGTGGGGAGCTAAATAATGAAAGATACTCAGGTCATACCTTTTTTAGCAATCTAGATTTACCCATTACAATCGTACTCTTTTCTCAGCAACAACAAATGCAACATTAAACAAAGAAAGGACAATAATAAGAAAACATTATAGGTCTGTCAACACAAAAATTGAAACAAGTACTACAGTATTAAAAAAAAGCTGAAATGAAAAAAATGTTGAATTATTTCACTTTATTTTACTTGTAAACATCTTATAATGCACAATGAAGGGGAGTAAATATTTATCACAGCTTAGTTTTAGCATTTTTGGTGAAGGGTACAGATGTGCTGATTTCCAGGGAAAAAATCAGAACACACTGAGTGACACATGTGAGAACAAAATCTGTAATGAGATTCAGTGCATTTATGAGTCTAGAAATAATGAATATAAACATCACTTTCACTTTTTACTGAGGCAAAAGCCATCTACTGACATTAGTAGGAATTATGTCTACATAGAATGAGCAGGCTGGGTTCACCTCCCAGTTCTGCAAAGGAATTAAAATTTAATTTTGTACACGAATAATGTTAGGACATTTTAGTTGATGTGCAGCTGTATTTGGAGCATATGTAAACTCTAGCAACAAACTTGTTTGCTATAAATAAGCTGTTCATTTTACATGCTCTTCTCCCATTTGGTATATATGACTTTAAAGTCATTTTCAGACACACTAGATGAACCAAAAAAAAAGAATCTCTAATTTTCTTATACAACCCTTCCTGTAAAGTTGATCTTTTTGTGCTCTCATTCACTTTTTGGCTTTTTTGCTTATTTAATTCCACTATTTTAGTGTAGCAAATTCATGTGTCTGCACAATGAAATGTTTAAGAAGAAAAATTTGAGTTGTTTAATGTCAATTAATATGGTCTCTATAAACTGTCATTATTTAACCGTTAAAATGTAATATCTGGCTGATACCCCACAAAATATAGAAATTGAAAACATACACTGCATTATGTACCTGCTCATTTATTTCTTTTTAGTTTTTAAAATTAAAAGTAGGCAAGGGTTTAGAAAATATATAATCATGCTTAGGACTATGGTCAATCTATTTTGACATTTGAAGTTGGTATTAAAGCTAGTTTTGCTTTCCAAATTCCCAAGCAAATTTTATTTGTAATAAAGTGAAATCCAGCTAGAAACGAGAAAAAATAGGTTTATTGTTATTCTAAGAGGGATATTAAAATCATTTAATAATAAAAAATCCTTTTATTCTTTTGAAGGCTATGTAACCTGTCCTTACTTCTTAGGGAATTTGAAAATGACAGGCACACCTTGTTGAATTAATTTAAGAGTTAAGAATAACAAAAAGTACTAAGTCTTAGCTTCAGTTCTGTTTAAGGCACCATGTAATAGCCGAGGTACAATGATCCCTGATGTACATTCTTAAATGGCAATGGTCCATCTAGCCACCTATTCAAATTCTACACAATTGGGAATAAGTACAAGTGAGGTGTGCCAGTTACACTGCCTTATCTAATTTTGTAAAAATTTAAATCCACTTTAACAACAAGGAAATATTTTTGAAAGGAAAATGATGCAGGTTGCTACATTCCTTGCATTCTATAAATCATCTTTTCTAAGAGCAGCAGACTGAACCACTAGTAGGAAAAGACCTGGAATAGAAGAAAGTCATCCAAATGGAATGTTTTCCTGTATGTCCAGTTCAGCATAAGTAGCACGTAGCACGTACACTTAAAATTAATAATAATAAAGTCACTTCTTTTTTAGCTTCAGTTTCTAACAACTACAGTACCACTCAACAGCCAAAAGCATCCGTTCAGTGGCCCTACATATAGAATCAGTAGTCTTCAAAACAGAGGAACTAGTATGTAAATAATATCTGGAACTGTCGATTTCAAAGGAAGCTTGCATTGTTCACATGATGGTCAGATAGTTAGGTAAGTTTATGATGTACACATTACCACATTTTGTTACAATTCTGTCATTTAAACTCGCTTCTTGCTCACAGAAAGAAACTAGGAGATCTTCCCAACCCTCCAGCATTATTACAAAAATTCCCCCTGAATGATCACAATTTTATCAAAATAGTGTCTTCTTGTTGTCCAATGAAAAGCACCTTTTTTAACAAATTTGATACATCTGCTGTCAAATAAGTATGCCTCCAGTGTAAATCAAAGAAAACAGTTCTTTTGATATTTCACAGAAGTGCATCTAATTAAAAACCTATCTATATGAAATCATCATAACTAATAATTAACATTAAAATATTTTAAAAAAACTATGAAAAATTTAAATTATTATAAGAGGACAAAAACATTAACATTAAGCTTTGCAAAAATCTTCCTTGCATTTATACTAAGAAAACTCTTCATATTGAGCGGCCAATGTAAAATGATTCTGTTTACAAAAAAAAAATTCTCTCTTTTTTTTTTTTTTTTGGTAAACAGATCTGGCAAAATACATACACCCATTCCATTTAACAACTCCAATAAAATAATGTTCAACACAGCTAAAATTTTGACAACAGTCACCTTCAGACTTATTTTTTTTTATTTTTTTTTATTTTTTTTTTTTCATATTAAACCCAAAGGGCTAACATAATGGGGTGTGTGTCAGTGGTGGGAGGTTTCATATTAGACTGCAGTGTATGTATTTCCAGTAGCACTGCATTGTCTGATAGTCTGAGTAGTTGCAACAATGTGCTCATTATGAATTGGGTTCATGAGGTTCTGCTGTACTCCACTGTCAAGCACTGGCTGCATGCAGCCCACCTGGAACGCCTGGTTTAGCTCTGTTTTCTCCCTCTTGGCTGGTGGCTCTCCATTTTCATCCATCTCTTCATCTATTTCACTTTCAACTTCGCTGCCCTCATCTGTACAAAGAAACCACTGTGAAACTAGCATGAAGGGAAAAAATTCCAATACAAGGGCCTTTATTTTGCAAGTAATAGTGAAATTAAAAAAATACAGGGAAGACTAGCAATCTGATAAAGCACAAACTGAAAATTTGAAATTTTAATAGAAAAAATTACTGTCTCAAATAGGTCAAGAGACTCTCAGGTTTGATCACGTGAATTACACACTGTTGATACAGTAGGTGGAAAAAACCAACTGCAGTCTCAAAAATAATCTCTAACAAACAATGTTAACTTCATGTTGCAAAATGCCTCTCACCTCTGAGACAAGATGATCAAAAGAGTTGTTACACTTAGTTACAGATAGGGAAACAGAGGTGAAGAGATTTGGCATGACCTGACCCCAAATTTTTACATACATTCTTATACTCGCTAGTTCCGTGATCTGGGGTCAAGTCATGCCAAATAACTCAACTAGTCAGTATAAGAATGTATGTTAAAATATGGCATTAAGAGGTTATAAGGAACTCATTTCTTTCCGTCCTCTTCACTGACAAGTTACCTGACAACTACTTGCAGGTAATTTTGTCTTCTTCACTTAGCAAAACATGTACTCAAAGATACGTAAGAATAGTCCTGTCTTTCTTCCTACAGGTGTTACCCTCCTCTGCCCTATCAGATACAACTAAATTCTGCATAAAATTGGAATATTTTTTGTGTCAATAAACATCTTCAAAATATATTCTTATTTTAAAATAAACCTACAATATTCTAGTCATTATTATATGCTGCATATTACATAGATAGCTTATTGTATCCATATAATATATACATGCACTTTAAAGCATCATACAGCTCTAAATTCTGTTTTACTGTATTTTTAAAATGTAAGGACTTATTTTGTTCAAAGAGACACATTAGCTCTGTACAGGATTGTACACTGAAGAAATTAAAATGCTTACCTTTATCCATATTTCCAGGGGACACAGCATTTAAATCACCAAACTGCAAAATAAACATTAAAAAAACCTGGACATAGTCTTAAGCAAATGTGAACTTAGATTATCTGTGATGGAGCAGATCTGTGCTCCAATGGTTTGAAGCTAGCATTCAAACACATTATCTTGGCTGCAGCCACATCCATAGTTCAGCAAATCATTTTCCATTCCATCCTAGTCTTGTGCTTATTAAGACAATTATCACTAAGTAAACCCTCAAACATTAAAATGGGAACGTACAAACTTTTTTAAGATTACTTCATCAGGGTCTTTGTTCCTTGAAGTGAGCTATTTCTGTGTGGTATAAAGCCATAAATTATGATGGATATCCATCCTGAACTCCAATATTTGAACAAAAAGCTCTTTTTATAATTTCCCAGAGACAACTTTAATTGTGCTGGTACAAAAATGAAGGTGTGTCACATTGTTGCACATCTACCTGTAAGGTAGATGAAAGGCACTGCTGAGAAAGGGTTTACAATCTGGTAACTGGTTTACTTACATCAAAAAAAGACCTTTTCAAAAAAGTTGCTCACAAGCTAGATGTACAACCTTCCTTGCTTGCCTTCCCTGAATCCTCTAAGTTTCTCTTAAATATGAATCAGCAGAGCAAAATGCCATTAATGAATCTCAAATGAAAGCAGTATATTATTATTTATGATGATACTAGTCTATTTTGCCAATACCTGTGTCCAAAGCTGGGAGAAGAAGAAAGGACAAAAAAGAGAACATTCTTCTCAGCTGCAACACCAGTTTATACTGTCTTAAAAGTGTTTGTTTAAGACAATAGTCTTAGACTTCCTCATTTTATTTCAGTCACAGTCATTGAATGCACAGAAACGTAAAAAGACATGCATTTAATGAGTATTTACTACTTCTATTCTGCCTCTTTCACCTCCAGAAGTTTTCAGCTACTTCCCCATTATATCTCCATCTTCAGTCTACATAAACTTTTTAGAAGACCCTACATTTCATTTATGTCTAATATTTACAATGTCCACTAAGACAAGAATGTGGTAACTGTATACTTGTGTAGTACTTTACTGCAAATATAGGGCAGAGATTAAACATATATACTATTGGTGGGTCACTAAGCAAAACACTGCTATTTAGTTTTTCTGAAGCATGCCACATGATATAAAATCATTTGACAAATAAAGCTGAGACATTTCCATTTTTTCTTGAAAGCACAGCATCTATTTATAGTATTTAATGAGCCTATCAATATATCTTGAGGGAAGAACGATACCTGATGCCAAACCAACTCACAAAATGACTTGCAATCAGTAACACAGAATATGATACAGTGACTCCCAAGTATAAAAAGGTAACAAATCTGACCCATTAACTATCTAGCCTATTTTCAAATATATCCATTTTCTGGCACTTTTGAAATGCAATTACGTGATAACCATGCATTTCTCAACATCTCACTCAAAATAAAAGGTTAGATGAACCACTGAAAAAAAGAGGGATGAGATAAACTTCTCCTTGCAGATACCATAGATGAGTATAAAAAACTTGTTATGAATTGAGAGTCTTGTTCTGTTTTTTTAAATCAATGATCTTTGAAATGTATGTATGAAAACAGTCTGTGTTGCAAACCTCTATGTATGTCTGTGCTGGTTATAGTACATGTATGTGAACAGTACCGTACAAGCCAGAATTCTGCATGTAAGCCATCCTCCTCAAGTCAGTGGTGGTACTCAGCTCAGTTGTGTTAACATTTGTATGGGAATCCAAATGTGTGCAAATACATGTAAATAGATCCATATAAGCAACACTACCCTAATGTTCTGTTGTTTTTTACTTCACATAAAATATTCAGTTCTCAAATATGGAAAAAGTCTGTATGTTGATCAACATTTTTCAAACTGTGCATATGAATCTGTATACAGGTTTATAAAGAAGCAAGCTCGTTTGGAAATAATGGGTTAGAATTCAATGTGATTTTAGTACTCTGATAATCAACCAATGGAACAAGTTTGAAACTGTTGTACGTATTGGTAACCAAATCTATTGTTATATTGCAGAACATCCTACAGCTCCACACAAACGCTTAAAAAATTTGCAAAGACACATACCCAAATTCATCACTAAATCTGTCAATCTAATCTCTTAACATATTATCTTACCTCTCCCATAACTGCAATAGGTGTCTCTCCTGTTGCCTGAGCAACACGATGCTCTACTAAGTAAAACATGTATTCATCGTAAAGCAAGCGGATCAGATGGAAAGAGCCAAAGCTAGCAGCACTGCGCAAGGTTAAATCTCGAATCACCATTGAGCTATTCAAAAATAGAAAAATATACATATTTATGGATTATATGTCACAGTCATTTTAACACTTATCCATGTAGACATTTCACCTCAAAACCAATATTCTCAAAAGTAACGTTATCCACAAATGTCTGATTTATGGTGTCTTCGGAAAGAGATGGCCAGGAGAGGCAATCATTTGCTCCTCTCCTTTCTCTTAAGGTATTGTTGGACACCACATTACGTAAGAAATAACCAGATTGTTTTGTTTTCAGTTTTTCTTTGTTTTGCTATATGCATAACTACCAATACTTGAGCATGTGTTAAACCTAACTTGAAAGAAAACTTGGTTGAAAACATGAAAAATAAACGGTAAAAAAACTATTAGATTTTAAACAAAGTAATGCTTAAATAGTGTCTGTTGTGTCCACCTTCCCAGTATGAACGTTTCAGTTGTCATGATTTTAAAACTTTGAAACTTAAAATTACAAAAAGATGTGTGTACATATTATATTGACACATTCTGGTATGTTCAGCAAGTAGTTGCCAGTCATTTTCAAATATCAAGGTTTACTCTGATAACTGTTTCAATAAGCAGCTAACATGGAATGCTTGTCTTAATGTTCTTTTTACACATTAAAACCAGGTTTTGTCTTCCTTAGCTAATAAACATAGATACCACAGGGGTTTTATAGACAATATTAAAAATAGTGGCTTAATAATTGTGTAGTTATTCAACACCAAAATTTCATATTATGTTTCTAACTCAGGACAAAATTCCACCTGCACTCATTTGCACATGGCTTTTAAAAAAATCAGCATGGATCATTTAAGTCCCTGCCAATTTGCAAGTAGCTCTGAGTTCAAGGTTAACAACAATAATTTTCTGAAAAAAAAAACCAAAACCCACGTGTTTTTCATGACTTAGTGCGCATCTGTTTGATATAACATCTGTCAATTTTACTACAGTGAACAATTCAGCAAATAATAGAATAGTTAGAATGTTTCAGAAGTTATTAAATACTACCTGTAGAAAGACCATTTTAACAGAAATTGCCGTGCTGCTTTAGGAAAGCTGGGTCTTCCTTCATATGGTTTCAATGCTTGCATCATTACATTATCAAGCCAGGCAGCCCACTGCTCCAGAGTGCTCTGCTGTTGAAGAGTCATCTTGAAATCTGTTTCTAGTCTCTGAACCATGTTGTCATCACACTGGCACACCCAGGAAGCCTGCTCCTGTTACAGCACATGACAACTCTTGAATTAACAATACACAAGCCAAAGCACAGATTGTAGTTCCTTCTCAAAGATTAAGCAATTCAATGGATGAAAAGGACAAAACCCACTTACCAGACAAACTAAGAAGCAGTTTTTATTTTTATGTCTAATTTTGTTGAAAGTAAGTGGGTGGGAAAAGCATAACATATAAAAGCAGACATAAAATAAAAGAATGAGAACAAACAATGGGAACAACATGTACATTGTAGTTTTCCAGATTGATTTTCAAAAAATGCTTCTACTTTCCTCATTCATCATTCTTCTACTGAAATATTTGGGACTTGTCCCTTTTTTTCTGGGCCTACAGGCAGGACAAGCAGGATGAACGGGTAAATAGGGGGCTAAAGTAATAAAAGCAGTAGCAAGAAATCAAGTGCAAGGTTCCTTTTGTTCTGAAGAAGTTAAGCTTAAAGCCAATTTCTGTTATATCATGTTATAAAAGAAAGCATTATATGTAAACAAGGATTATTTTGTTTGCTGACTATAGGCAATAATAGATTGCATATGACTTAGAGTACAACATAAACTGCACAAAAATGGAGAAACACACTCTGCATACAATAATAAGCAATTTAGTCAGTGATATCAAGTTTAAATAAGGCTAGCTGGTCAATTCAGAAACTAGGAGAGAAAAATGAAGACTGACTAACTGCAAGCCATGTCCTTAAAGTCTAGCTATCATGTGCCAAGTTAACACTCCATTCACGGACTCTATATCCATGTTAACATATTACAATACTTAATATACTGTATCTTTGGTCAAGTACTCTTGACCAACTTCTGTTAAGATTATTAACAAGTATGTTAAAACAGTTGTTCGTAAGGAAAAGAGACAAACATAGAACTACCAGTAATCTGAAACATTTCACTTTGCTGGGCAAAAGGAAAAAAAAAAATTCCTCAGAGGAGCAGAAATGTGTGGAGAAATTAAGCTTAGTATAAATATAAACTCATATTCTATAGCTAACTGGAAACTAGTTCTAATCTGTACTGATCTAATCAATTACTCAGGAGACCTTGTAAATTTAAGCATAGGCACTTAAATGAAGTATACTAGCAGTATTGTCTTTCAAACGACAGTCTCTACTAAAACCAATATTGTGCATTTAATAGCTTTTAGAGACATTCAGAAATTATTCTACTATCTGAGATCTAATTCTAAGATATCATTTATGCTGTTACTAAGACATCATTCATGCTGCCCGTTCTAAGCATGTATTTGGTCTACATTTGCATAGGAGTTGGAAGTGTATGTGCACTTCAAGACAGTAAACGGCAACAGATAATAGTTCTGAGTTCCTGCTTTCCTGTAGTGTAAGCTGTCATGTTTGACTGAATCACTGTATATATGAATCAGCAAAATGTTCTCACTTCACTTTCTTGATAGAATAAAGACAGCTAACAAAAACATAAAGGAAAGAACACTTTTTTTTTTTTTTTTTAAAGCCTGTTAATTTAAAGCTACATTTTACCTGAACATTGGCAAAATCAACACGGTTAAGATCATTGAGCATCTGGTTGATTTGAGAAGTATTTTGAAGCACAGCTCGAGCTGCTTGAGCCAGGTGATTAAGAGATGTGTATCTTCGCAGAGTCTGGGCAAAGGCACTTACAGCGGCAACCTATGAAGAAATTAATGTATTTTAAAATATTGTATTTTTTATCTGTAGATTAATTCTACAGATTGGATCTTTACTTTCATTTTAATATTCTATATTAATGAGTCCTCATATGTGAATTATGTCCATGTAGCAGATCAAATAATATCTCCCTGATAATTTTTTGACAAAACTGAGTTATTTCCTCTCCCATTATTTGATGCTTGATGCTAAACATGAAACTTAGCATTGAAGTTAAAATGCTACTGCTTTCAGATGCTACTGCCCACTTGGTTTGACATTGCAAGAGTAATACTTTAACACTTTTGTCTACCTTGGTTTGTATCATCCTCTGTGGAATATTGTTCATGGCATTTGAAAGCCAGCCTTCAAGGCTTTTTGCAAAATTGCGAATGGCTTGGGTCAAGGCACCTGCATATTAAAGAGTAAAAACAGAATGAAAAGAAAGCAATGTACCCATCTTGAAATGTTTTACATTCTCAGTACTTACGTACTTAATGTTCAGGTCCGCTGCTTTTACTAAAAGACAAATCCAGTCTAGGTTCAAAATGCCTCATTCAGACACAGATTATGCAATAATGATTTTAGTTTTGGTTTAATACACAGTTCTGACTTCCTCACTTAACAATCTTTCAAGAAGTTTGTGTCTAGCAGTATTGTTTTGGGCACTCCTCTAGAAGAACATCAGTAATTGCAGCAGCAGTTGTTGTGACAGAAACTTCCATCATAAACTTTCAGCTTTCCATTTCATCCAAGCACCTCTTTTAAAGAGCAAAATTCTGGAAAAAAATCCAGTTACTGGAATACTGCAGTTTCCTCAAGTATGCCCAAAGTAACCTTGAGCCATGTCATGGTGCTGCTTACTTCAGTTTAAAAGAACAAAATCCAACATGCTGTGCTTAAGGATATAATCAATAAGCAAGATATAGGATTGTGTTTCACTGACAGAAATTGAGATTATTCAGATGGCTGTGGAATCTGTGTGCATTTTTGTTTACTATAGCACCCGCAGAATAGCTGAGTGGCTGACAGAGATTGAGAGAAACTGAGGAAGCCCTTATGGCAATCTGCACTACTCAAAATGTAAGTCTTAATTTTTCAAAGGAGGAGGACAGGAAGTATTTTCCCAAGGAAGTGCACCTGGAAAAATCGTATCTCCTGAGTAGTAGAAACCTCACTTTCCCATACCTACCACTTGCTCATTGACATAGTAGCATCCACTCAAATGGTTGCAAAAATGAGACAAAAAGAAAAAGAACTACAGATTTCTAAAGACTGGTAGAGAATGAACGCAACTACAAAAGTGAAGAGGAAAAAACTAGAAAGAGGAAATAATTATTTTCAAACTGTTTTAGCTATTTGTTACCAATAAAGTAATAAGTATCCAAGTAAAGATTGACTGGATTCTGTTTATAAGGCTGAATACTCTGGTAGAGTACAATATTAATGCTGATAGAACTTTTCATTGAGAAATGCTCTTTTACTGTTTGAATTACTGATGATCTCATTTTTTAATAAAGCTTTCTACCAGCAAAGTAAATTTACTAAAAGCAAATATGTAGTCTTCATGATATCTTTTTTCACGTCTTCAAATTTGCAGTGATAAGCAATGGAATCAATATCAGTAATTTATATAACTGACTACACATTTGGATGCCCAGTTGAATACAATCTGATCTTACAAAATGTCTGTACTAGCTGAACACTCAATGGAAACAGGGTTTTTTTCCCCCTTGAGGTTTCGACATGAAGAACATGCTTTTTTCTTCAATCCTGTCAGTCACCTAGCTCACTTGTGCTGCTTTGTAAATTATTTCTATGTACTTACTAATTAACTATGTATTCACTCACATTTTCTTACCTATAGAAGAAAATGCAGAGTGGAAGGGATAACATAAATACTGTATGAATGATACTTAGATATTTAAGGAAAATATTACTGCTTTTTCATTTCTAATTCACTTATTACTCTTTCTCATCCAACTAGATACTACAAAATTATTTGCATCACTGTTCTCCTTTAAAAATCAATATGCAAAAGCAGCTCAGAGCTTAAGAAAGGCCTTTAGCAAGGAAGAAACAGGAGCAAATGAAAGGAATTCTACATTCTGGAGAAATCAAATAGCTAAAGGAGATAATCAGGCATCAGTATTGTATAGAACAAGCACAAATTTCTAATAGGCTTTGGAAATATCACATTGAATACAGAATTTTTCCCATATTCCATCCTTAAGTTCACATCTAGCCATTACCAAAACCTGAAGTGCCTACATCTTCAAAGCCTTATTTTAAGTTCATCTGGCTACCATAGAAAATGCTTTCAAGGAATCACATGATGAGTATGGTGCAAAGTAAATGGCCTGAGGTAGTTAAATGTTACTAGACACACACTAAATGATGTTGCAATGGCAGTTACCAACAGAAAGTTTGGTTTGGATAAGCGCCCAGAAAGCTTGTGTTCTCAGCTGAAAACCCTCCAACATGCAAACCTTATAAAACCAAGGCTTTACAATCCTTCTAGTACTTTAAATTCTTGTCTGCCTGGAATTGTGTAATATGGTGTGGAAATATGTTTAGTATAAATTCTCCACCTATGATAGAAACTAACTCACAGGCAAGTTTGTTACTGTCCATTCTGTCACTTGCAAGGTGCAAAAAGTCTGTTCTAAAAAATAATAGCTCTGGTCTCTTGACAAAGACATTACATAATTATTCCTGACTCAAATGGAATGGACAGCATTTCACTTCTCTTAGGAAAAGGAATTTTCCTGTTTTGTACACAGCAATTCTTCATTCATTCTCTGAGTGCTAAACATGCAGCTGGCAAATTTAACTCAGAGGTTAAAAACAAAACAACTTTTTCTTAAATGGTATTTTTTTTCTACTCCAGTAATACGTGTCACACAGATAAGTAGTACAGTAAGACTTTTCTCAAAGAAAAACACTGAAAAACTAGACATAAAAAAAGATAAACCCTAAAAAATCATATGCTTACTTCAAGCACTTTCCAAATTTTTTTTTTTTTTCCTATTTTGAGCAGCTGCTGTCTATACCTTGCATTTATTCAGGAAAGAAATCATAAACATGCCTTTGATTAAGCATTTACAATCCCCTTTCCTCTACAGAGTCCAAACTTCCCTATAAACTGCTATTTTCCCACAGAAGATGTGAATTTGTCTACTTCACCCAGCTCCATTATTGTCATAGTCAGCCATTAAGCACAACCTTAAGCCTTCCTCTTGGTCTTCTGTAATGGCTGGAGATACTTTAATTCAAAAGCACAAGTTAAAAAACTAATACTATTTTAAATATTTAACAGTGAAGAGAGAAGTTGAATGGACCATCATTACTGGAAATCTGACTAGAAAAAGCCATTTAGTTAGCTGGTCCTAAAGATAAAATAAGAAAATACATTAGCTATGTTCCAAAGGTTAGCTCAGTGGGTGAACTTCTGAGCAGAAAACCACTGGACTGTTCACAAAATAGAGGCAGAAGTCTCTTGGGATGAATTTGTCCTGGGATCACATGATGTGTTTGCATCAAGAAGTCTGACAACTATCCCAAAACAAGGAATGTCAAACACAGTAGGTATCAATTAGTCAAATACAACTTGTAATTCTAGAAAGAAAGAAATAGCATGAAAAAGACCTGATGCCTGTCCTTATTGATATTAAATGACTATCCCATTTTCTTGAAACCCTGTACTGCAGTGCCCAATGCATCTTATGAAACAATGGAGGAAGATACCACAAGCTAAGGAGCTAACATACAAAAACTGTAAAAGGCTGCCAGGCTGCGTAGGAGAAGCAAGTGAAAAGCAAGATGAAAAGCAGGTTTGATGAAAAACTATGTCTGCACCACCTTTTCATTCAGAAAATAATGTGGTTTTGGAAGACAGAGTTTTGTGGGGTTTTTTAATCATTGCCTATTTGCTTGTGACAAGACTATCTTACTCTAAAATTAATATCCTACCTACTTGCATGGTCATTAGGTAGAAAGGTAAAACATCAAATATAAACCAATGAAAAATAACTTATGAAAGCAATGGTTGTCAATAATTGCATGTATTTGAGAAAACATTTTTCATTTCTTCTGCTACATATATGAAAAGATAATTTATGTCCATCTCTACCAAGAACTTACTTTCCTTAATAAAAAAGCTAGAACTGCCTTTGTAAATGGCCGACCTTCAGATTTTATACGTTTCCAATTCCAAAATTTGTTTTGTATCATACAAAATTTACTAAAACCTAACTTTATTGCACTGACCCTGAAAAAGTCAATAAAACTTTTCTGCAAGGCAGTACCTGCAAATATCCTTATAAAGTGCTTATTACTGCTACAGTGACTATAGCAGAAGGGGTGTTCACAGCATGACAAAATAGCTTTGTTAGTTGCAAAGCTAGTTAAGGCCCTAATTTTTTAAAAAATATTACTCCAACTTTTTATAAAGTGACTACTGTTTTGTCATGGAATAGATATAATATGTAGGAGTTACAAGGTTTGTACTGGGTTGCTAACACGATTTCTTTATAATATTTAGCACAGCACATGCGAGACAATAAATGCTTCATAAAGGAGTTCAACTTTCTTCACATAAATTAAATTCATTTTCTACCACAAATAGCCATAAAAATACTCTGCTGGAGCAACGATAGATTCTAGTAACTTTGAAAAGAAAGCTGTACTTCTGGTAATGGTTGAATGGCCAGACAGTTATTCACTCCTTCAAGCAGGACTTATGACAGAAAGAACAGTGGATTGGAATAATAAATTGGACTAAAAATTTCTGAGTTACTTTTTCATTGCCGTAAGAGTCATTAAAATTTATTTCAGCAGCCACTGATAAGGAACAAAAGACTAACTGTCCAAAATGGAATCACAAAGATCACATACTTTTTTCAGACTAATCAAAGATTAATATATAATGTTTAAACTAAAAACTACTGTATTTAGTGGAAGGACTGACATTGCACACTGGCTCAGGGCCACGGGACTTAGGTCTATCAGGTAGTCTAGAACCAGGAAAACATTTTTATCTGAAAATATAATACACAGAGAAAGAAGTACCTTTAATATGAAACTGGATCTTGAAAACAATACCTGTTACTTTTAAAATACAAAGCATACATCAATTTTCAGTAAAACCTCCTATGCAAAAAATTTAAGGATAAACGATACACAATACTTTTCTAACTTTCAAACTATTCTTAAAGCTGCCCTGTGAGGCACAAGACCACCACCACACACATACATGCACAAAAATCCTTAGAAAATGTTTCAGGCATTCAACTTACTAGGAATAGGTCTAAGGACATCAGGAATGAGAATCTCCACCAAAGCCTGGTACATCACATGGTCACAGTTACACATCCATTTCAGAATAGACTCATTCTTGCACAGAGTAATCAGCTTTGCTTTTGGAAGTCGACTTTCTATTTCACTCAGATTGCTGGTGTGAAAAAAAAACAAATAACAATACATTTGCAGCCAGTAAAAACCTGCAATGAGTGTTAAAACATACTATTTTATAAATGTCATAGATGTCTTAACTACACCCAAAAGAACTTTACATGTTGTGTCACATGGGAACGGATTTAAAAATGTGCCATAGCTCTGCTACAGCTCAAAAATTCTGCAGAGGTATGAATAATTTTAAAAGAACTGGACAGAATACTGGGAAAAGACACTTTTACTGCAGTTGTCCAAGCAAAGAAAAAAAATGGATGACACAATCATTTCAAGACTGCGCTTTGGCATACACCCAGCCTATACAAAAATGCTTGACAACATAAATTTCATTTGAAAAATTAGCATATTAAAAATTACTACTCTGCAAGTAAAACCAGTGAGATTCTCTTTTTATTTGACACGTTTATTATATCATCATGAGAAGTAGTAAACAAAGAGAAACATTTACCGACCTTGGTTCAGTAATAGTAGTGCCATCAGATGGAGCAGAGGGAGAATAGCGCCAGAAAGTTTGCCACAATTTTTCTATCAGGCTGAACTGAAGATTCACAACCACATCCAGTATTGCCTGAGAAAATAAAACACAAGTACAGATTGTCTTCTACCCAGCTTCCTCCTACTGCCAACTCCAACTAGATCTATAGCTTTTTTTCCTCCATCATGTAGTGTAGCAGGTCAAACTGTACATTTCTCAAGTTATAAATAATATCTATTTTAATACTTTTGATATCCATAAATTATCCACTATAAACTGGTGTGCACAGAGACCTGAGTAAGACCAAACGCACATGCACGGAAGACTCCAGAAATGAGCATGGCCTATGTAAACATACCAGAGGAATTCACCCAAAGAAAATACTTAATGCTACTGCAAACACAAAGGAATCCTGACATTTTATTAATTTTCATAATTCATATACATTTGAAAACACTTTCAAAAAGAATTTTAAAAGACATATTGTTCAATATAAAATGTGGCTTAAATGTCTCAATATTCTTTTAAAATGAGAAAAAAGTTACTGCTTTTAATGTAAAAAAAGAAATCATAATTTAATCTGATTTACATTTCCTATTGACTAAACCAAAGATCTGCATGTATAATCTGAAGTCTAGTTTCTCTAATATTCTGAAAACTACATTTCCGTCTTAGTGTATATTATATATTACTTTTTTCCCTTGTAAAGGGGACCCTCCAGAAAAAGCTTTTTACTGATGTCCTTTCCAATAAAATAAGCAAAATATCCTGGGGGAAAGTCACATACCACTAACATGGCTGCAATATATTTTGGCATCACTGTCCTGTACTGACTTTCACTAGAAGACATGAACTTTAAAAAATGGACGGTTTCTAGAAAATACCTCACAGTGCTCTCGATAAAGACTTTGCAGTGATTTGATGTCCTCAAAGGTAGTACCATCTGGTAGAGAAGATATTTCAACTTCTCCAAACTCTGGAAGTACTCGAGATGCATCTGTTTCCACAACAACATAATGAAAGAGGGCTATTGTGAACAGTCCCAGTTACAACACAATTAAGAAAAAACGTAAAGATAATACAAAGAAACAAATTCCAACAGGTCATAACGTTCAAAGAGAAAAGTCTTCCATACCTGTTGTATGTTAAAATCGTAAACAAATTCAGCCAGCATTTTGTAATCAAACAGAAATATAAAATTATTCTTCAAGACATTAAAGAGACATCAGCTACATACTACACCTATATAGAAAAGCTAACACACATGTTTTCAGAATATTATAGGATGAAAGAAAATATCTATGGCAGTGTACGAAAGAATAATCCTTTAACAGTTTTTTTCTTGTTCAACCAAAGAGTTGCTACGTAGCCAAGTATGATGAGGCTTAGCTCAATATACATTTTTATTTGAAATTTACTAGACTTCCAAGTAGAGCCAATGTGTGCTTTTACTATTTGTCACAAATGTTTCTGAGAGACAAGCTGATATAAGAGAAAAATGTTGGACTGAAAGGTACCTGGAAAGAAGATTAAAAACATTGTAATGCTACCCTTATGTTCTCAAAGATTTCAATAACAGCAAAATTAGGCCAAAGGATTTGATGCTTGAAAATCCCAATCAAATAAGCCTACACCTTCTGCAATAACACAGCCAAAGAGTCTTTCTACATAAAAAAAATAACTAAATTACCATTTGTTTCTACACTGAGAATATATGTTTAGCTGGATCAGTGAATCCACAACTTGGACATTTTTAAACATGAACTTTGAGGTTCCAGTTAAAACTATTTGGCTCTTTCCACTTATAACACTACAGCACACTTTCAAAACAGCATACTGGATGACTAACCTGCAGTAGTAATGCCCCCCTTTTTATGAAATAAAATGCACAATAATGCACATGCAAGGAACAACTTTCATCACAGAAATTTCAATATGCTTGACTAATAGAACTTTCCACAGCCACTGCATTGTGAAAAATACACAAATACAGAATTTGCATAATTTTTCCTTTTTTACTTACATGATGCACATAAAATATTACAGAAAGCTCCCAACACAGAACATGTCATTTAAGTGCCTTTTTTGTTCCGTTGTAAGAATTTTAAAGAGGGCATGACAACTTTAGAAGCAACTACTGTACTTGTGTGACTTGATATTCACAGTGATAATGAAATTAATCTTGCTTATTTATACAATAGTATAAAACTTGCTTTCATACCTAAAAACTGTTGATGATGTTGACTTTGGGCAATTACAGTTTGTTCAACAGATGTGCCTGTCTGTTGACCACTTCCTGTGAAGCCATCTGCAACTCCATCCACTTTCTGCATAGGCTTATACCTACAAAAATATCAAGTGCAAAATTATCCTTTCTGTTCACTTCTTCATAAATAAGATCATACAATCTATGTTTGCTCTGATTTCTCCATCTCAAAATAAAATTTTGAGCAAAAGTAACATAAGAATTTACACATTTGTATTTATTTTGTAAATAGCGGAAGAAACAATTACTAAGGGAAGCTAGAGCATTATACTGCATTACAGAATTCATAAAGGTGATATTACAGCACCACTGCCAATTTCTTGTGCAATTTAGCTGAGGAACAGCATACCATAAGACCAACTAATTTACATCTCAAAAGGAATCAAATCATTCCCTTTCCAAATTCTTTGACTTCCCAATAATTATGTAATTCAAAAATAATGTTTCGTTAACTTAAGAAAAAACAACATTACTGTCTGAGGATAGTGAAAGACTTTTCAAATCCAACAAACTTCTCTCATAAGCCTAGAAGGCCTGAGAAAGCTCCTTGGAAACCTAAACTCTTCACTAGTCAATTCTCAGAATCATTTATAAAGGTCAAAAATCACAGTGATACAAATGGGAATGCTGGTTTGGATTGTCAAGTGTTGTCTCAACAATCAGTCTGATAGGCAGAAGATCATGCCTGTCGCTTCCAAGACAACTGAGAATTCATTCTGTCTCAGGTCGTAATGGTAACATCTTGAACTCTTCGCACTTTTGAAAAAAAATTGTAGCCACTGAGAGAGAAAATAAGAGAAACCCCAAAGCTAAATGTAGTGTGTTTTAATGATCACTCAAATTGGAATTGTTGTGCAGACTGTAAAACTCCATGCTAAATTCAGAAATGTGACAAGAAATTCCTCTCTTGAGGCATTACTTTGAGAAGCAGTTTCATCAGTTGGGAACATTTCATTTTGTTTCCAGTAAACATAAACCAGCATTGTCTCATGTAATTGCCGAGATTTTACTTTAAAAGGAAGTTCCCATGAAAAATGTCTGCTCAATATTCTAGGCATTTCTGACATGAATCTAAACACACAATAACAAAAGACAGACAGAAATTACACTTTTCAACAGGAAGACTCCTGGCCTGATTAACAAATAATTTTAGAACTTCAGGAAAAAAAAGAAGACACCTATACCTATCCTATCTCTAGGACATTTATGTAAGCGTCACTTTCTGTAATGGTCCAGTATAAAATACTATGCCTGTTGAAGACAATACTGAAACACTAATCAACTTCAATAAAGAATAAAATTTCATCTCTGGTATCATGGTAGCACTGAACTCTTCTGGACGAGCTTGTTATTACTTGATAAATCTACCTGCAATCCAGGCAGTCCATCTGGGAAGAATTCCTAACTTCTTTCTCCTTATACATTATAATTACAAATACCAGGCAGAAGACCAACTTCTGGAAATATTTGTAAATCTAAACCTATACTTTAAGATAGTTCTGTACTTTCTGCAAAATGAATTATTTTTACTGACCTTTCAGCTCCTCAAGTAGGATTCAAAGTATTTTGAATACATAAAAATAGCACTCTTCTAAGAGTTTTTCAGTTATGAAAAAACCCTTTTAATTAAAGTATAAAAGCCAACTTAATCCTTTGATGCTAGGAATCAGGATTATTGACCTACTTACTCCACTGTGCTTTTATATAAATATGCTGGGCAAAACTCTTAATTTTGGCACTGTGACACGTAACTTGTCACAGGAGTTAACCAGTTTCAACAACATTAGGAAATCACTTGCAAAATGAAACCAAAGAATGAAAAAAGAAAACTACTTTTCAGGAGTTTCAGATGAAACATAAGCAGACAGTGGTTAACCATTTTAGATCTACTCTCTTTTATGTACAAGTAGAGCTTTGGCAGTTCAGACATCAAACAGCTCTCCAGAATTCTTTAGTTAAATTCAAGCCATTTTTGGTACATGGAAAAAACAGTTACAATTTCCTAACTGGAGTTAACATTTTCTAAAATTATCCAGACTTTTACTCTATTTCCCCGTTTAACTCATGACTAACCTATACCTTATTTCATATTTCCTCCGATTCTTTTCTTTTAAAGTACTAGGTGCTAGAAGACTGGTAGCAGAAAATAATAACTGACCTTATACAAAAAATGGTGTATGAGCCAGCAACGTGCGCTTGCAGCCCAGAAAGCCAACCGAATCTTGGGCTGCATAAAAAGAAGTGTGGCCAGCAGGTCGAGGTAATTCTCCCCCTCTACTCTGCTCTTGTGAGACCCCACCTGCAGTGCTGTGTCCAGCTCTGGAGTCCTCAGCACAAGAAAGACACAGATCTCCTCAAGCAGGTACAGAGGAGGGTCACGAGGATGATCAAAGGGCTGGACCACCTCCCCTGTGAGGACAGGCTGAGAGAGTTGGGGTTGTTCAGCCTGGAGAAAAGGAGGCTCTGGGGAGACCTTATAGTGGCCTTCCAGTACTACAAGAAAGATTAGGAGGGACTCTTTATCAGGGATTGTGGTGACAGGACAACGGGTAACGTTATCAAATTGAAAGAAGGGAGATTTAGATTTGATATCAGGAAGAAATTCTTTCCTGTGAGGGTGGTGAGGCACTGGCACAGGTTGCCCAGAGAAGCTGTGGCTGCCCCCTCCCTGGCAGTGCTCAAGGCCAGGCTGGATGGGGCTTTGGGCGGAAGTTGTCCCTGCCCATGGCAGGGCGGTTGGAACTGGATGATCTCTAAGGTCCCTTCCAATCCAAACCATTCTATGATTCCAAGATTACAGCTTTTTAATGATAACTTGAACCAGAAAGGACATAATTTGAATTTTATATAGGTTAGCATAAACACAGTAAAAGTTTGCAAAGTATTTCGTTAACAACAGACATTTTCTCAATTTGTGCAAAGCTAGGAAAATAAAAAAAACCTCCAAACAATTGAAATCTGAACATGGAATCAGACAATTCAGAAATGACACTGAATGATAGGCTGGTCTCACTTTGCAGTTAATTTAAAATACAACTTCATTGTCTTCCATAGTCAATGACCTAACTTCATTAACAGAAACTTCCTCTCTCACTGCAGAAGAGATTAATAACTTCCTGAATAAAATTCAATGTGCGGCAAACAATTCATATTTAATAAGATAGAGCAGAAAGGGGAAGTATAAAATGCTTGCTTGGTTTGAAATGCGCATATGAAATTGGTAAAGAAAAGAAACAAGCTGAAAACTATGAGAAGCCAAAACTGATTGACTAAGTCACAAGACAGTCAAAAAAACAGATAGCAGCTTTTTCAGTTAAATTTTCTGCAGATTTGTTGTTTGCTTGTACTGTTGCCATGCTGCCACTATGCAGATTTTTCTCTAAGTCTTTGAATTTAGTATTTTTCTAAAAAGTCCAACTCATGTTGTTATGCAATTTATCATATTCTGTCTTAAAACTTAAGTTCTTAAAAACTAAGGTTTCTATCATTCTAGCTTGCTAAAAAGCAAACTGTAGGGTTTCTAGAAAGAAACAGAACTAAAGTCTCAGGATTAACTTGTATTTGTTTTTTATTTTAAATCTGTTATTGTGATTTATCTCTAGGAGTTCACGGACATCTGTGAGAAGTGAGTTACATGTACCAAACTGTAACAAAATGGTGACCTTATGCATAACAATGTGTAAAGTCTGTTAAAGCATTTTACTACTATATGGAAATAAATGTTGCCACTAGGGGGAAAAAATTAGCTTTTAAAAGCAAAAGTTTATTCAAACACCTTACAACCCAAGGCAACCCATTCCAAACCAGTTGACTAAAGTAAAATTTAAGAAATTCAAATGCTTAAAAAATTATCGAAGATGCAAAACCTGCAAGTAACAAAGAAATACCTGAGAAGCATTTGGATGCTATCATAAAGTTTTGGTGTGTAGATCATGTTTGTACTAGTTGCTCTCTAGTGTTTGGAGAAAATAAAAATACTTCCAAGTACACTGTTGTGCATACATCATAAAGCCTCAAAAATAATGCGGAGGCTATATTTCAATAAAAGCACGGTTATCTGAAATCAAATATGGTAAAACTGTAAAGAAATTTAAGGAAAGCAAATTTCATGTGTGTGTTTTTAAAACATTTCTTCTTGGTACAATAAGCAGTGTTGAGTTACGTCTAATCTAGAAGCCTAATCAAAACTGGTTTTTAAGCCACAATCACCTCAGCAACATAACCATACTAATCACAAAATACCTGTGCTTGTTCAAGAGAAAGACTGAATTTTTTCTGTACTAGTCCATTAGGAAGTTGTTTAGTAGTTTTATCATGTAAGTTCTCTTATTAACATTTTAGGATACTGTATCTTAACAAACTTGTAGCCATTTTACAGATGTCAGTATTTTTTAGACTACGATGCCTTGCTCTCTATCTTCAAAAAGAATACCATTATAAAAATGCATAATTTCTCTGTTTTCCATAAACCCAAGTGCCTGTTAAAAAGATCTATAAATACTTGATGCTTTGGACTTACAGTAGCTTGGTTTAAAGGCAATGTTTGACTGAACTGTATATCCAGGAAACATGAGAATACAGCAAAGAGAACAGTAGAAAAATACAGATTATTTTCTACATGAAATAAATACATAGACTAAACAACATCTATACGAAGAAGTAATTACTGATTTCTGGTTAGAACAATAATATATGTATTAACTGAATGTTATAATGTACCGTAAATAACTTTTATTGTATTTATTAAAAAAAATCTTAGCTGAATGTTCAGCTTCCATAAATGAAAGCAAAAAAGTGTAACTGCATTCAAGAACCGAAAGTCATATTTGAAATTAACTTTGAAAGCTGGAGGTTTACTTCCAGAAACAGAATTTAAAACATACATTGTTATGAATGTCCTAAAGAAAAGACAAACATACCTGTATCAATTTCTCTAGACTAAGCCATAAAGACAATTCAGCTTCTGAGCCACAAGCTTCTACTCATGAAGAGCTAGGTAAACACAGGCTGAAAGTGGAATTTGACTTTAGGAATTGTATCTCTGATACATTTCCCTTAAATGGTCTGACAAGGAATGCTTATGGGAAAGAAATTTCATAGTAAGATTGTAATTTAAAGTGGCAAGTGTTTAGTGCCAGACCTTAAACTCTACAAATATATTTGGCATAATATTTGAGTTGGGTATTTATTTCTTCCTAACAGTCTTTGTATGATGTTCATTCACTGCTAGTCAGGCCTGTGTTTGATCCAGAACTGATGGATTATATAACCATTTAAATATACTGGTTCTTCCTACCCTGGAAAACACCTAGGAGCAGGATGAGAGGCAAGCCAGGCCTTCCCTTGCAAGTCTGAGCCATACAGCAGGTCCAGCTGAAAGGCAGGGTTAGCTATTATCTTCAGACAAGACTAGTCATTAGCCGTGCATTTCTTCATTTCAAAGGTGCTTTAAGTCTCTTGATATGTGGTTGTTGTTGCCAAACCACTGTCTCAGCTGGAAGATAGGACTGTAAGCATCTGTGATCTGTAGTTATTCTAGTTTTTCTTTTTAGTGGAACAAAGAAAGAGTACACCCACATCTCACACTGATCACAACCAAGACATAGCAACTAAAAGCAAAACCTTCTATCTCAAATATATGCCTGATAAATCTCAGATCCTTGAATTCAAGCCCAGAACAAACTCTGGACATGAACATGCAAAACCACTTTGCGATAGTCAAGTTATGCAAATAGAAAAGGTGCATGACCCTCAAATTAAGAAAAGGAACGAAGATCTGTAGCATACATTCAAGTCCACAATCTTTGCCAAAAAGAAGTAGAAGTGTTTATCCAATTAGATATCTCTGATAGAGGTGATAGACTTGGTATAACTACACAGAAAAAGTATATTGACTGCAAATCACCAGTGATTTAAAGGACAAAAGAAACATTACACATATTAATAAAGCTGAAGAAAGAGTGATATTACCCTAATTACGTAAATTATAATATTTGGTCCTTTGGTTATTTCTTAATAAATCCTGCTAGTATTCTTCAGTACGCTAGGATAACTATGATAAAAACACACACAGACATATCGAACATTGAAATTAGATACTAAGCATGTTCAATAAATGTGGAAGAAATCTTACTTCAAAACTACAAGCTTTTTAAATCACACATTGAAAGTTTTAAGTCAAACCATTTTTACATTTTGCATTTCTCTTTTCCCCCCAAAACCCTAGCTTCTGAGGGCTACAAAACACAAGCATACCTCAGTTTCCTTTAAAATTAACCAGGCAAAATATACAGACATATACAGAATAAAGCTTGTCATTGTAGACCAAAGATTACACTAAAACTAAAAAAGTAAGACTACAAAGAGAGAAGAATGGATAAAAGCTCATGATTGTCACATGCTAGAGAGCTGCTGTAATGAAGTAAACAAGCTAGATTGTGGAATAATTTAATACATTTTTAAGGCTTTTTCTAAAATTACTACTATAATCAGTACATTCCAATGAGACAAAAAAAAAGTTCTGGAATCATCACATCTGGCTTTAAAAATCCCCGTTTCTACTATAAAATTTCGCTGTTTTCTAGTTTAGGGTATGCATGAACAAGTTAAAGTGGCTCATGAGTTTCCATTTTTCAATTAACATTTTCTTTATTTTGTTGGATAAACATCTTCATTCTGAAAATGTCTATATCCTATTCAGTATTGCCAGCATGTTTGATGGTATGCAGGGCAGAGACAACATACATTTTGCACAGCACAATTGTCAGAGTCTGGCTAGCTCCTTGTTCTCTGCATTTCATTCTTTTAGGATGCTGGGATTTTGGCAAGACAGAAAATATTTTACTGAGATCTGTGTACCCTGAACTAAGGGATGAACAAAGACGCTCAGAACTACTTTGTATGAATAGCACACCAGTAGGACTACGTGAACAATGCTTCTATTTCTAGGGTACCTAACTTATACATCACAAGATTTCAAGAGTGCAAAGTGATCATCCCGTCTTTTGTCTTAAAAGTAAAGGTGGAAAGTAATGTAAGTTCCTGAGAGAAAAAGCTCCATCTAGTATACTGGGACAGCTGCTTTTAAGGATTTAATAACAAAGCCATTGTTAATATTAAGATATCATAATATTGGTGGTCTTTTCTGTAGTCAGTATTGCAGATAGATGATAGAGACTTACATTTTTCTCTCCTTTTCCTATTCTTCTCCGTCTTATTGCTAGCCTCAATTGGGGATAACACATAACCAACTTTTCTACTGCTGCACAGCACTTTTCATGTAACAGCTACCTATTCAGCATAATTATCCAGTGCCTTGTAGTTCCCATCCTTCATCAACAGCTTTCCAGATTCTTGCAGCAGAGCTTAAGATTGGTATGAACTGAGTATGGAATGGCAGCATGCTTGTGCACATATGTGTGTGCACGCACAAAACAGGGCTTAAAGGAAAAGTATGCACTAACTGCTACACAATGCCATATGTGTGATTTCAAATACAATCAGGGAACAAACTGACATAAAGATAATGTTAAGGAAATGCCACCAAACATACCTAGGAAAAGAAAATAAGGGAACTACATAAGACATACTGAACAAAATATTATAGCAAATAGTAAAGAAAAGTAGTATCCACTCCTAAGAGTTATATAAAGCAAGTTCAAAATCACTTTGTCATTGTGGATCAAGAAGGTGACAAGAGAGATGATGATGACAACTGGCATAATTTCTCCAGAAACAATTACTGTTAAGACCATTCTGTTAGAAACAACTCTAGTTATACCATTGTGGCATATGCCTTGGTGCACACATGGGATTTTGAGTGTGAAGGAATGAAATCTGTACGTGAATAAGCTTGAATGGGTAAAATAAGCTCGCTTGGAGATTTTGTAAATATTTATCACCTTTACTTACCATAAAATCCTGCAATGATTTTTGTTAACAAGAATTTCCTACGTGATTGTACTGGGAGACATCTCATGCTTCTGTATTATGCCCAGTACAAGATAGTTAAGACCATCTATCTTACCATGAATATGTATTTAGTGCTGTAACTACTTCTGAAAGTGCTAGTAAGATAATTTCACATTAAAGTGGTATCTGTGTTTGAACTTTGAAGTTGACTTTTCCATATCTCAGTTGTGTCCAAGGCCACAAAATATTCTTAGTATACTATACCAAACCATTCATTCAACTGGATTTTTTTTGGGTAACAGCTCTACAGATGTCTTGCTTGATATGCTGCTGTTCTATCTATGAGTTTCATGAAATTAAACATCTCGGACATTTCACTTTAGGGTAGTATCAGAGGCTAGTGACATCAGTCAAATAAAAAATAGTTTCAAAGAAATGTACTGATTTCCATTACTTTCCTAAAATTTTCTGTTCAAGACAGTTTTTCATACGCATATTCACACATTCTTTCACCACCAGCACAGCCCTTTGTGGTCACTGTGCCACTGCTTTCAAATACTTCTGAGCTGTCACAGGATCCCAGGAACAGATGCCAAGGGAAAATACTTAAATCAACTTACAGGCAAACAATTATAGTCACATTAATTCTTTGCACGGAAAAGAAATAAAAACCAAACGGAGCTTAATCATAAGCTCTCTTATAAGCAGCTTATATGTTGAATGACATAGTCATGAAAACAAACAGCAAAATTTGAAATTCAAGCTCTTACTTCTTCAGCTTGTGGGATAAGAACTCAAGATAGTTAAGAAAAGCCTCTTCATATCATAACTCACTTTATTATTATTACGTTTTGCAAATTTATGACAATTTGTAGGTAAATATTCTTACATGTTGACTGATACCTAACTTCAGTGATATCAACTGGATATGTAGCAAACTTTTTTTTTTACAACAGAGAAGCTGAACAGAAGTTGCACTAGATTTTCAACTTTTCCATGTAAAGAAAAGTAAAGGCTTTATGAACTAGAAATACTAATACGTACTCATGTTCATTTCACACTTTACCTCTGTTTCTGCTGCATGGGTTGTTGTCTCATAGCCATATATTGCATGTCCTCTTGTAGTCGATTAAGAGGAGAGTCCGGCTTGACACGAATCCCGTAGTAATGATATTTGGAGTTCCCCCTTTACAAAAGAGCAAGAATTAAAAGAACAGTAACACTCGTTTTACGTGTCTACATTACATTTACTTTACAATTTACATTCACTGGAAACTAATACCCACAAATCAGGCCTCGCTCTCCTGTCATACCTGTTTTACATGGGTGTCATTTTACTACCTTTGGGAAATTAATTCACTCACTTAAACAAATATTATCCAGCATTTTAATTTGTAATCCTCTTGAGTAAGAAAAATAAAATGCAAATAAATACAACTTATCTGGTTATGGAGAAACACAATTCTTAGCAATTTCCAAGCTACATTTTATTTGTACTGATAAAAATCTGCAGCGTATTTATCAAAATGTAAACACATAAACAGTCAAAACCAGGAGTAGTAAAGGTATAATATCATCTGGAAAAGAATAAAACTGTTTAAGACACAGAACTGACAGAAAACCACTGCAATATTTAAACATAGGTTTTATTTATTTTTGACTGGCAGACAAGTTTCTTGTTCATAATTATTAGTTGTATTTTCTATTATAGTTCAGGATTACATTAACACAAACCTAGTTCCAAGTCTTCTGGTCCGTAATCCCATGAAGATTGATCGTATGAGTTTTCCAAAGGAGGCAGCATTGACCGGATCCAACTTGTGTTCCTGACAATGTCGTAAGTAATGGTTGTAAAGGGTACTTCTTGGAAGGCTCACTCCTTCTGCAGTTTCATAGTTGTCTAAAAGCCATTGAAGCTGTGTCACATACAAAACAGGAACAAAAATCATTATTACTTTATTAAAAACATCTTAGCGATAGAATGTTAACTTATGACAGTTTTGAAACCACTCTTCAGGTCTATTAAACAATTAATTCCTTCTTCAGATTCCTTAAGTGCTAGCTATACCATAGTGCTTTAGGATCTTTAGAATTACCAGGAATTAGCAGAACTCATTGCATTTGTGACCTCAGGTAAGCGTCTCCACTTCTTAAAATATTTTTGATTCAGTACCACACACCAATACTTGATAAAGGTATCTATGCTTTGGAGACAAACTGTTAGTACCACAAAGAAATAAAGTAATCATTATTGTAACTCACATAAATTGCAGAAAACAAACTCCTTGCACTAACAATAGTTAGTTAATGTATTTCTAAACCTGGACTATTATATTGTTTTTCTTTGCCTGATGTTAAAAACCATTATGACACTTATCTGAATAGAACATTTTTTGCTCTCAGATACATATAAGAAAAAAGCTATTACCTGTAAGTCAAAGGGCAACCTAGATAACGTTGAAAATAACTGGTACATCTATAAAGCATTAGGGGTACAATCCCTTTCAGTTGTAGCCTGATTGCTTTTGACTTCCAGGAGGAACTGAATGTGATTCTTGGAGAATTAGTAAACTTTTAAGGTAATTGTGGTAGGTAATTTTAGACAAATGCAAAAAAAAAGACTTTTCCTGTAACTCCACTGAACTTCCCAAGTAGGGCACACTCATGAAACATATACATAATATACAAAAAAGTGAAAAGGACAATTTAATACTCCTAGATTTAACATTACAGAAGAATGACAAAATAGGTAAAAAATAATATTAGGTTGAGGATGCATTTAAATTCCACTGGTTTAGCTTTTTGATATGCTAACATTTTCCTTATCTTCCCCAGTACTTGCCATGGATTCATTTCCCTGAAATTTTTGTTTAGATATAGCTTTAATGATTCACAAATTTTATTTTCTGTTTGAATTTTATTTCTCTGTTTTCCTAAGAATTCATACTGAAATAGTACAGTGTGAATAGGATCAGAGATCTTACTAAACCTCTGTATTTAATTTGAAAATGCAAACTGTGGACATTGTGTTTTCAAGATGGTGCTACAAACTTTTACTCTAATAAGCTAAATATTCACACAAATATGTACTAATTTTCAATTTAGTCCAGCAAAGCCGTAATTACTATAACCAAAACACAAACCAGTAAGCAATAATAAAAGATATACATGGTCTATGTGTTATTTATTCCTCTGCAGAATTATTTTGTTAGCGCAGTGCACGAATTCTGTTCCATCAATGTTCAGTGTAACTTACTGTGCAAAGAATACAAATATTTTAGTGTGCAATAGCCATGAAATGTTTCAGTCCTGACCTTTTCTTTATCGCAAAATGGTTACATACTAAAGTACAGATGTTAACAAATATATTGAACTTACAGCTATGTTTTAGTAACAGTGAGAAATTCACCAATACAAATGCGAAAACATTACCACAACATTTACTCTACACCATTCAAACATGATTTCCATATTCCTTTTTATTGAAAACATGCCCATAACTTTTCCATGTTCTTAAACATAAGCTTTAGAAAAATATACAGAAGTAAGATGTAAATGCTTCTGAGACATAAAATTGTTATCTCAGTTTGCAGGTAATTTTGCATTTCAAATAGACAAAACGAAAACGTAGAATTCGTCACCTTTACATCGGTTACTGTATCATTATCTAAAAAGTCTTAACACTCACAAATGCTTCCACATTGAGCATCTGTCATTTCAAAATAAAGCTGAAGAAAAAGGATAATCATAAATATATTTCACTAATGACCTGACATAAGACTGTCTAGGCTTAGTAACAAAGGTAATTCTACCTTTCAACTATTGCATGTTATCTATATTTAAAATCTATTATTACATCTATATTTATATTAAATACATTTATATAACAATCATCATATACGATTAAATCTATAATTTAATTGGAACAGATAGGGGATGTGAAGTATTTCTGGTTTTCCCAAAGGGAAAAACTTTGTCAATCCCAGAAGACTGACAAAGAAAAAGTAATTATTTTTCAGTTAAGTTCTGTATGTAGCATTAAAGATATTTTCCTCCAGATGCCTTCTAACCTATTATGAATCACTTTAAGTGCAGTTCATTAATTATATGAATTTCTAACAGATGTTATTTCAACAATAACTTGCATTATTCAACACTAATGTCCTAGGTTACAGTGTAAAATGTGC